AGAGACACAGAGACACAGAGACACAGAGACACAGAGACACAGAGACAGAGAGACAGAGAGACACAGAGACAGAGAGACAGAGAGACAGAGAGACAGAGACAGAGAGACAGAGACAGAGACAGAGACAGAGACAGAGGGGGGAGGGAAAACAACAGGGAGAAGATCAAGGCCCGGACATTCGCCACTGGTCCTTGAGAGAACTACGACCGCTGCCGTCTGCCCTGGCCTTGCCAAGAATGACTGGCTACACTGGCCGCATGGGCAAGAGGAAACAAACCCCTGTTCGACGGGCCACAAGGACACTCTTCAGGCACACCTGGGCTGGCACCACGCCAGGCACACTCCGAAAATGCGTCCGGTATTGATTTGCGGTGTGCCACCCGCCTACCAAGGTACAAACACCAAAGAAACAGGTAAACAACAAGAGTTGGGTGGGAGGCCACCGCATCTAAGTTGGAGGCCATCGCACCCAAGTCCATCGCAGGTAGGCTGGTTTCATGCAAAGCAAGACCCCCAAAAAAAAACTGCAAAAAATGACAAATTGACAAAGGTCATCACAAGTAGGTTGCGACAAGGTTGGAGGATTTCGCTACAAAGTTGGGTGCCATCATAACGCACGAGCTTTAAAGATGCAAAAACTCAGACCGGTGTAAATCGGCAAACCGGTGAAGACATGTGCAATGAGTGAGTTGGGACGGTCAAACACCCGACACGCGCGATGTCGCAATGCAAACATTTTTGTTCCACCTACAGCCGCACGTTTGGCAGTGAAACCGCGGGGAAAGTCAAGCAAAGGCATGCGGCTGGGGCTGGGCGCATCAGCCAGCGCGAAGACACCAGCCAAGACCGCGCAGGCGAGGGGCGGGGAGGCCCAAGGCCCGCCGAGTTGAGTAGCGCCGAGACGGCGATATTCAAGATCCCCCGATGACCAGCCCCTGCTTCCCATTCTCGTCCACAGCATCGTTGCGTGTCGTAGGGTGGCCCACAAAAACAACCGAGCCCCTCTTTGAGTCCAAGAGTTACACACACTCGAGATATCGCATACTGAGACAGCTTGCCAGGTGTAAATGGAATGGCATCAAACCAAATCGACATTTCGCAAGGAAAACACTCCAACTCCAACCAAATGCAAAACCGCAGCTTGTTGGAGCTGCAACGGGACTACTTTGTACGCAAAATCAAAACGCAAGTACGACACTGGATCTCCTCAAGACACTGCAGTGAGCTTAGCACTGCAGGCCTGCTCCACTCCTGCCCTCTAAATAGTTATAACAGCATAGACCCCAAACAGCTTCAATACGATTCGATGAAGCCAATAATAGCAAAAAAAACATTTTTTGGTACGCCCTACCTCCTCCCCAAGGGCTGTTTGTCTTATCAATGATTTGTCTCGGCATCGAAATCGCCAATTGTTCAAGACTATAAAATGTAACTCCCACGACTTTTGTAAAGAAACAAGGTCGACTGCCAAAAACACTATCGCGGGACCTCAAGAACATGATGACCAGATTTCGTGCGAATGGAGCGCGGCCCCTTCCTTGCAGGTTGAACACACTACATTGTGACGCATGAATGCCACAATTGGCCACACCCTAGTCACAGGGGCAAGCCAAAGCAAACAAAACAAGGACTGCGAATGCAGAGGCCTACTTGTGATGATATATGGGGTCATCAACGGTCCAACGAATGGAAGCGCGCCAGGAACAGGGACTTGCAGGCACTGCTCCAGGAAGTGCCAATACGTGCTAACCACGATGTACAAGTTCCACGTAGAAGTCATCGACACTACTCATTGGCAGTGGGCACGCCTGTTGGCTTGAAAACCGCAAAAGTCGAGAAGCATGGGTTTTTGGGCCCACTTACTTTGGAAATGAAAACCCCGTCACCGTAACTGGCGAGACGTGAACCACAGGGGAAACTGAAAATCAATGCGTGGTGGGCAGCTGTTGAAGTCAAGGCTGACCACAGGGGAGTGGGGCTGGTGGATCTGGCTTTGGCTTCGGCAGGCCGACGGAAGAAACCCGTGGCTGCGGCACTCCGGATGAGGGGCGGGCGTTTTCGATATTGCTGTACTTGATGACAAGTGTGCCGCAAAACGCGGTCCAAGAATAAGTTGGTTCACTGGGTTTTTGGATTTTTTTTGGCCCAGGTGTTGTCAGGGTTGGGGCATTCAAGTTGAACGTGTCTCTTCGGAGAGCGCGGGGTGAACCCGAAAAGCTGTGCCATGGAGTGGTACAAGGAGCGTGCAGCGTGCAGCGTGCAGCGGAGAGTGGGAGCGAGAACAGGACGGCCGGTGCCAGGACCAAGTTGAGAGCAGCCAACTTGCAAACGTTCTTTGGCAAAAGTGGCGGCAGGGCCCCGCCGCTTGCGGACGGGCGCCCGCTCGAAGTTGTGACTAACTGCCTCCCTGGCCATGCAAGCGCGGTTGATGTCGGGATTTTGTCGCCCGTCTCGCGGGATGGGCCGCCCCGCCGCTGCATGTGGGCGCTCGAGCGGGGAGGACGGCAGGGGGTAAAGTGCGAGCGCTAGCTCCACACAGTTGCAGCAGGTTGCAGCAGGCCACACGAAACGGCGATACCTTGGCAACGCCCTGGTCCGCCCTTCAACATGGGGGAGCACCCATTCCGTCGCCGCGAAGGCGACTTGTGCGGCAACACTTTTCGAGCCCCCTGGCCCCCGTGAAGGCCCGCCAGCGGAAGCCGCATCCTGGGTCGACGTTGCCTGGTGGAAGGGGCTCCCGACTTGCTGGAGGGAAAGCAACCTAGTCCGGACGTCGTTCGTTTTTTCCGCTCGGTTGCCCTGCCTCATGTCCCACGCAACGATCGTACACCATGCGAACAAAATTGTTGTTGATGCATGACCATGCGCTTGGCCACATCTGGCTTGATGGGCGTCGGCTCTTTGATTGCAACCGCTCCATGAATGAAGCAAACGCGATGGAACACATGAAAAACACGGCCAACTGCATGTTGCATAGAGTTGAAGCAGGAAGGGTCCACCTGCAAGTATGTGTCACACAAACACCGTGCGCATGAAGTGTGGGAACCCTTCAACGCGGAACTGTGTGGACGACGGGTTTTGTCGCGCGACCAAGGCCAATCCACAATTCCAATCTCAACTTGCACTTTGTAGCCGGGCGCGTTTTCTGCGCGAACTGCTGCTGCTGCCCTGCTGCGTGGGAAGCACAATCATAAGTCATGAGCTCTTAGAAGGGACCTCCAAACTTCCGTATTTTCACGCGCTAAAAAAAACTAAATCACATCCCAAGCCAATGGCTCGAAGACCAACAGATGCAACCCTGCGTCTGAAGGCAAATGGAATGCAACGGTTGGTCACCTTGCTGTGGCTACCCTTGGGCCAATTCAACCCCCCAAGTCAGAACCAAACATGTACACAGCGTTCATGGTGCAGTCTACGTTGCTAGGAAAAGCTGCAAAAAAACATACAGAAAGCCATGATTGCAAGGCGTCCACACACCACGACAAACACAAACACACCTCACTTGACAAAAGCAAGACAAATAATCAACAATGACACACAACACAGCGGCAACACCAAACATGTCCACCCCGAGGAGCACGACAGCAAACAACGTGGAGTTTCAGTCCATAAATTGCGCCTCCTTTTGTTCCTGTGATTGTGGCGGATGCTTTGCGCTGCCATTTGTCCCGAGGGACCTGCACGCACCTGCTGCAGGTACAACAAGCCAGCCACTTACAATGCGGGAATGTTTCGCCGCAAGGGAAAAATGACTAGGAGCAAGGACCCACTAGTAGCAAAGGGCATCGCTACTAGGAGCAAGGACGCTACTAGGGGCTCCTGGCCTTACTACTAGGAGCAAGGACGCTACTAGGAGCAAAGGGCATCGCAGGGAACTGGCGGGCAGGGAACTGGGGGCAGCAAACTGGGAACAGGGAACAGGGAACTGGGGGGCAGGGAAGTGGGCTGATCTCCAACTATTGTATGTAGAACCTCAAGTCGCTGATCAAGGCCTACAGGTGGATCTGAGGTTCTACATAGTTGGAGATCAGCCTCGTCTGAGATCCACCTGTAGGCCTTGATCAGCGACTTGAGGACCTACATAGTTGGAGAATAGAATCAGGACGCATGAAGTGAAAACGACGCCCTCAAAGATACAACATTAAGTCAGTAGGGGTTAAGTGAAAACGCCGCCCTCAATGGTGGCCCCAAGTCAGCTGCTTTCAGGAAACGATGTTCTGGCAGCGTTCTGTAACCCAAGCTTTTGTTAATTCATCATTGAGGGCGGCGTTTTCACT